CTTAACAAAGTTACTTATCTAAGGCAGATTTCATTTTCACTTGCGCAATTCAAATTTATTCAAATATTAATTATAGCAAAACATTTACTAGTAGACTAATTGATGCAATACTTGTCAACAAAGTTATTTGCAGAAAAATTTGTCATCAGGAAGTTTGCTTCGAAATACTCATAATGGAAGGAAGAAGTGCTTTGTGTGCTTCCAATGATTCATACTATTTGTAAATACTAAAAATATTTGAATCTTTGAACGTGTTTTTGTGTTCAGAATTTTTAGAACTGTCTTGAAAACCAGATTAAATGCATAATTATTCATAAAGGAAATGTCTGTCTCAGTTTTGGTCGAATTATTAATTCAAAAAAATCGGTTATTAATTGTATAAATGTGATTGAATTATTTGCGACTTTCAAAAAAATAGAATAATTACTTCCAGTACTCATTCATAGTTACTGGTCTGTCTGTGATCCAAGTAGATAAAATTAATTATCATTTGGTTTATTCGAGGATATCATTTGTAAGCTATCATTCCCAGTTATAGTTTTCATACTGAAACAGATTTTGTATGCATTTTATGAAAATAATGAATGTTGTGAATTTGATGATTCCATATAAATAAATTATCAGTCTTAATTTGAACTCAATAACGTTTTACGGTTTTTATTAATTTGATAGTACTTATCATGGAAGTGTTAAGAATAAATTTCAATGCTTGAAAAATTAATGCTTCAGTAATTAGTTTCATAAAGTACTGACAGATATTATGACATTCTGTTTTCTATCATATTAAGTATGACCAAATCATTGTTTAGAAAATTCTCTGATATTCAAGAAAGTTAAATTTATTTTGACAAAAATATTTTTCTAAATTATTTATTGTTAGAAAAAATAACACTAGAAAAGTTTCAAAATTTTTGAGCGTTCAAAGTTTAAAAACTTTCATATTAATATTAATGTTGCAAATTTATAAGCACTCGAAGAACTTCCAGAACTCATCGAAATCAGAAAGGATTTCGAGACTGCTTGTATTCTACTGACCATAACTGATTAGCAGACACATGAAGCAAAGAAATATCAAAAATATACAAAATTCATTACTTGACTTTTAAAAATGCTTATAACAAAGTCTTTTCTTTTAAAGACTTACTTTACATAAAGTTTTTAATCAGTAATTAATAAGTGGTATTATTAATTGCAGTCTGTGTAGTTTCAGAATATTATAATAATTTTGGAGTAAACTTTCTGAAATAGTATTGAAACAGCAATAGTAGAATATTTGAGTAAACAATTCTAGACTTAATTAATTTAATTACCTTTTTTTATCAAATAATTTGCTCAAAACTTGGCATTAGAACAACGTGAGAAAAAATCTTTTTAGTGAATAAATAATTTTGCTACACTTTTGCCTTACAGTATATAAGTGAGATCTATTTCATAGGAAAGTTTAACTTCTTTCTGTTTCATTTGGATTGAAAAACTTTCACAAACGAATCGTTCATTTAAACATTTGGGATAAATACAAAATTCAATAAGAATATTATAGTTCTAATTTTCTAATTTCTTAAGTAACATGAATTTTTTACACTTACTAATAAAAATTAGTGAAGTTTTAAGAATGGTAAACAGTTAAGCATAATAAAAGGCGTGAGTTTTTGCAATATTACTATAATATTATGTGCTTTTTATTTTTATGCATAAAAATTAAAAGTCCAAATAAATTTATTGTAGTACATAAGAAATGCCTTTTTTTAATAATTTTTTACATAAAATGACTATATAAGAAATATTTATTGAATATATAATTTGTTTAGGCTACAAATAAATCAAAACTTTCTCAACGATTAGACAGAAATTTTGAAAATAATCAAAATTAAGTTGTTGATTGAACTAATATTAAAATGCATTTTAGAAAATAATATAAAAGCATTAATCTCAACAATTCATTACTTTAATTCTGACTAAATATGTTTGAAAATTGTTTTTTAATCAAACAAATGTTATCAATAAAGTTATAAAGTGAAATTTGTCTAATAAAAATTATTAATCAAAAATAGTTATAGTAAATAAATGAACTCAAAATGGTGAATGATTAGTGTATGAATAATTAATTTTAAAATGAAAAAAGTAATGTAATTAATTTTCTATTATAGGTAGAGGGAAAAATTTTCTTCACAATCTTATTTCTTTTCACTTTATTATTGCTTTTTATGCTTTTTATAAACAACTCTTAACAGATAATTTTCAAACAACTCGTTATTTCTTCTAAAACAAAATTTAAAGTTCAATACGTCTAATTTTATTTTATTCACACTGTCATTTCTCGTTAACTCTGTGAAACTACTCATTGTTTCAAATTTTATTAGACCAATTTTTTATTTTTAATTTATTGTTTTGTTTTTTGAAAGCATAAAGTTGCTATTTTGTTTGATTTTTACAATGAATAATGAAAGAAAATTGCTTTTTGAAAAGTTAAAAGTATGGTGCGAAATATTAACAACAAATTATTTTGCATAAATTTCAAATTTCGAAAACTTTTAATTTGACACTTATTGCTTGTGACATTTTATTTGTCGTTCTTTAAATAGGACCACAACTTGAAAGAGAACTTGAAGCCGAGGTGCAAAACTTTACTCTTAAAACTTTTTACAGACAGCATAATTGTATTTGCTGAAAGTTCTGTTATGCTATGCAGTTGTCAAGAAGAACTCAATTTTTTGAATTCTTTATGCAAAATACAAAATAAGCTGCTAAATTAAGTTTGACAAAATCACAAAAAAGCATGGATTAATTGCTCGATGAAGAGAACACATAATTCAGCTTGAGATCATCCACTTGCAACTTCTGCATCAAATTCTCAATGTAACAATGAGGCATTGAAGGAATTAAGCATAAAGTATGATGAATTATTTGGCATTCAATAAGAGTTTGTTTTAAATACTTTTACAAAAATTATTTAAATTTAAATCATAAAAGATTGTAGGAGTTTAAATACTCTTTTTACTCTCAAGAAATATTAAGCAAGAATATTTGAATTTCAACATCCTGCTTTTCAAATATTAATCCATCGTTGTTACAGTATCCTTCAAATTAATTTGGTAGTAACGACCAGTAAAGTATCAAAATTATTCTTGATTTATCTCATTGCTATTCTAGTAATTTAGCTTTATTCAAACTGATGGCAACAAGAAACTAATTTTACATGAAGCTAAACAACAAAAATATCTTAACAGTTATAAAATTTGCATAAATACTAAACAAAATTATTTTTCATACACCGATAAATGACATAAATATAATGACATAATAGCGACGATTGTAACAAAAAATTCGAAAATTACGTCTGGTAGTAATTCTGAGTCTATTTTCAATTTATATCGTATGAAATCTTTCTGTAACACAAATACTTCAAGACAACTTCAATCAAACTTTATCTTTCTTCCAAGCCATCAAATACAAGTCAAATTTTCTCAAACAAATTAGTGCCTCAAATATTAAACATTCTTATACTATATAAAAGATTAATTTTTCTTCAGAATGTGCATGGCAGTCACCACGATGCAAAGATTAGGATGTCAATTGAATTACAAGAATTAAGCAGTGGAACGTCCATTGTTATTTGTTCAGTGGCAGTTCCTCATACGATACCACCACAAAACTATACTGCCTAGCATCTACTAATAACATTAGTTGCTCCGTCTTCCTTCCCCAATATTATGGTCTAACATAGCAAGCAATAAAAGTACTTCCAATGAGTTGGAAAATTGCATTAGTAGAGTATTTTAACTGTTCGTTTACCTGCCTAAATATTATTATTTAATAGCAAGAACTTAATTGCTATCAAACTGGCATAAATATATAAAACTGAAATGCAAATAACTGCTAATAATTTTAACAAGTATACACTTCAACACTTTTATTTTATGCTGACTAAAATCAGAAGTATGTATTAAAAAAATATCACATCTTAATAATTTAACTGTGACTGAAAATTTGAAAAAAAAAACCGATACCCAGGAGATACCAACTGAAATAATTTTTCAAAGGAAATAGTACAAGAAAAAATTAATTGAATATATGGTACATGCATGCACATCATATGTGTATACACAAGAATATTCTCGTGTTATTGGCATTAATAAAAAAAATACTAAAAAGACCGATTTCTGTTCACCGAATGATAATAATGAACCGATTAATCTCCACAACCTGAAATACCGGAAATTCTGCAGTTATTAATACACAAGAAAACAGTTTTCCTACACTTTTAACAAGAGAACAAAAGAAGTTAATAAAGGAAACAGAACAAATGAGGCAAGATTATGTTGGCAAATGAGCGTCTAGAAAATAAGAGATAACGAATAACGGCAAGAATTTACAATTAAATTGAAAAATGATGAACTGTACTGAAGTACTATAATTGTTAAATTGTACTTAATACAGTAAATATGTTGACACGAAAATTAATCATCGGTATATAAAAGTAATAAAACTATTGAATCTAATATGAGCACAAAATTTCTGCTTACTAAACAAGCTTTCATTAATAACCCATAAAGTTATTGAAAAACAAATGCAAAACTCTGTAATTTTAGTTCTAATAAAGCGACAAGCATAACTATCTACAGTACATAATCTTATGTATCAAATAAGAGAATTACGAACGATTGTATGAAAACAAAAAGCCAATTAGATGCGCATAAACTTTCATACAAATTCCATCACTAATAAAACACATTAATAAACAAATTGAAGAACTTGAAGTTGCGAGCAAATCAATTATTCATCGTGAAAAAACTAGAACTCACCACATGAAATCTGAGTCAAATATAAAATTTGCTGAGAAGTCCGTTGTATCATAAAAATTCCTCCCTTACTGTAATTACAAAAAATGGTTTTTAATAAAAAAAATCATGCGACTTTTTATTCCAGTTAATTTTCTTTTAGGCTTCTTTTCCGTTCAAGAAATATAAAAATAAAATGCTCAAACTATGTCTTTAATAGTATCATAAATCACTATCATCATCGTAACTTTTATCACAGTAACCGTTTTCATGATAAGTACCAAAAGTAGTCATTCCTGTCATTGCAGACATTATTTCTCTCTGAACATTAGTATTCACGGCTGTTTTTACTAGATCAGACATTTTCTCTAGAACGCGTGACATCTGTAATTGATGTTCAACCGATTTCTGAAATAAGTTAGATTTTTAAAAACGTTACTTTTGCATCTTACTATCACTATTATTTTTTGTATCCATACATAAATCTTAGCTACTTAGACTTTAAGCAGTGAAACTGTCTTTAATATATATATTTTAATAAAACTATCTGTGAATTACATTATAACGTATAAAACATATTCACCTATCATTTCCAAGAAAAATCTCATTACATATAGCAAAAAAAACCTTGATAGAATAAATTAGCAAAAAAAAAGAAAAACTAAAATGAAAGCCTATTAGTAGCAGCTTAACTTGAATACTTGAATATTAACTTTTAATAGCAATAAAATCCATTTCCTACAAGTATGTCATGTAGTTCAGCAAGATTTTTTGAAGCATTGATAGATCTAAGAATAAGATGCCTTAGCTGATTCAAAAAATAAAACATCCACTTTCTTAAATAATAGTAAATTACCTGCAGAAGTTCATTTTTCAGTTGCTTAATTTCGGCATCACGATCAGCAATAACTGCCAATAACTCTACTGAAGATAAACCCGAACTTGCTGCAACACGCTGACTAATGTTACTTGAGTGATTCACAAATCCTGCTAAACAATATTACATTATTCGCTTAGCATCACGAGAAATTTAATAACAAAAATTATTATAACCGCAAAAGTCAATAATGTAATTAACGCCAAAAAAGGCATGCATACAATTAACAATAATCCACAAAAATATCAATATAAACAGTATTTTTCGTTTGTCTTTTTAGAATAATAAATATCATTTTCAAGTAATTCAGGCAAGTAATGAATTTCATAATTAAATTTCTAAAAATTTTTAAACAAGATAGGATTCAGATTTAAAATTATGACAGAGTTCTAAAAACTAACTACCTTTTAAATCATGACTAGGTTTTCGATCTCGTGCAGTCAATCGGGGCAATAAAGTTGGAGAAGCAGTTCGCATTTGAGAATTGATAATTGTGTTTGTACCATTTGTTCCATTTGCTGTTGGTGTAACCAAACGAGCAAGCAAATCAGAATTACTTGATGAAGCATCCGAATCTAAGCTAGAAATAACTATCAATGATTTAGGCATAAAAAGATAATTTTTATACATGAAAAAGTTGTGTAACCATACTATTATTATTTAAAGGTTGAACCCATAAATACAGCTTTGAATTTAGAAAAAATATTAAAATATGAGTATACGTTACGTATATAAAACTACTCACTCAGCAGAAGCGGTTCCATTTGTGCTACCTGCATCAGATCGAGAAGCACCACCACCATTATTATTAAATGAAAGCAGCTGAGATTTACGCCTAAAATTAGCATAAAGTTTTTTGGTTTGTTCAATTGTTAAATCGCCCAATTCTGAACCATATTTTTCATTGGCCGAGTCAGTGATCTGTTTCCAAACTTGATTACGCTCTGCATTGATATGATGCAGCCTAAAAACTGTCTTCATTTCGATATGTCATGCTCCGTGTGATCATAATTTTGACTTGATAACAATCATATCATATTTGGTATTTGAAGAAATATTTGTACGCAAATTTTCAGCGAAACCAACCACTAAAGAGAACTGACTTTAATTTAACCTAATCAGCATCTTAATTCACTTCACGGAAGATGAAGCATAACCATAAACAGTAAAAAATAAAATAAAATTAGTGAAAGCATAGCAAAGAAAAGAAATAATAATTTCTAAAGTATGTAAATCAACTTATCGTGATTTTTGATTGTAAATAAACTATCAAAAATCACGATAACTTATTGCTTAGATTACAATAGAATACTTGAAAGAGGAGGAATCTATAAAATTCATACAAATTGAAGACTGAATACCGTGAATGACTATCAAAAAGACTGTTGAAAGTTTCAGCCAATTTACATATATACTGTCCACGTTCTTTCTTCTGCTGATATGCTACAGCAGCAGCAGCAGCAACAGCTGCAGCAGCTTGCTGTCCAGGCAGTAGTAAGCCATCAGAGGAACTGCAGGATGAAGAAGCTGAGCTAAAAATGATTCTGCTTATAATAATGGTAACTAGAACGTTTTAAAGAAAATTTATTAAATTAGCTTCTGCTATCAATAAGTACCATTTTGTTAACTGAGAAAATTACTCATTTTATCAATTTTCAATCTAAGCTAATAAAAATGCATGATGAAAGAAAGAAGGAAAAAAGATTGAAGGAGTGAGAATGCGTGAAAATACATGCTGTAAATGTCTAAAAAATAGATTTATTTTTTCTTCACCACTGTGCTAAAAACTGTAAAAGATCCTTTGATGGTTTGTCATCTTCTCGAACGATTTCTTCAACGGGTGGAGGAGCCATTTCATCCGATTGTTTTATTTTCATTGCATCTAGAATTTATCGTATAAATTTAGGAAAGAAAAATTGGTTCTTATCAACAACAAATGCTTCAGTTTTAATTTCAGAATACATCAAATCAATATTTAACTTGACATTTACATATTGTGCTTAAAATTTATTTCCCAGCAAATTTTCTACAACTTCAGAAATATTGCAACGCAAAAAGTTATAAATTTCGTGACTGTTACTCTATGGTATTATTAATTCAATTCTTTTTTCGAAGAAAATTGTAGCTTAAGCTTAATTGTAGTTGAAACACTTTTTTTGAATCTCATAAAAAGCTGCAAAAATATTTTTAAAGTAATTTTTGTGTGAAATGACTTTGATTATGACATTTAGATGACATAAATTTGAAAAAGATAATCTGAGTACTACTATCTATTAAGTACTCACTTGCATCGCAGCAAATGCCATCAACTACATCGTTAGCTTCAAGTAGTTCCTCTGCATCAATAGAATCATCAATCTGTCCATTTGTTGCTACATAAGCAGTAGCATTAGCAGCTGTTGCAACTGCAACTGCAGCTGCAGCTTGTTGTTGTTGTTGTTCTTTATAAGCACTTGGTATTAAATCAGCATGCATTGAATGAAATGCAATACCGTAATTTGTTGGATCTTTACGTTTATAATATTTGCATAGCTTTTTACACTGCTCAAAGGTTAAAGTATTCAAATGTGAATATTTTTTATTAATTTCTTCTGTTATTTCACGCCAAATTTTATTCCTTTCCATATTTGCAGCAGGTGAACGAGAAGCACTGTCCTAAAAATCCTCTAATTATTATTTAAAACAAATTCTTATCAAACTGTCAGAAAGTCTTTAAGTTTGGATGTTTCATTTTAAAAAATGATTACTACCAATAAATATTTTTATCCACCCAGTAACTAATGTAATAAATTATTCATTCTGAGTTAATAATTGAATTTTACTAAACTAACAATTCAATAACTTTTGCCTCAGTTTTTTCTCTTTTTTCAACTCTCATACATGCTAAGAATTATTTGATAGATCATCTGATAAGTAATAATAATCAACGATAATAACAGTAAGCTTGTCGAAATTTAAAAGAAATTTGGTGAGATTTAGCGCTTATTTCTTTATGACTAATAAAAAATTAATTAATTAATTTATTTATTAATATAGATTTCTCAAAAGGCAACAATTTCCTATGATGAAAACGTAAAAGCAACCTTTAAAAAATATAATTTTTGCACAAATTGTTGTTAAATATAAACTTACGACTAATGCTTCATATCGACCTGCCATTGCGACAATTTCTAAACCTCGTTCCCGATTCATACGATTAATATCTGCAGCAGTTATCAACGGCGTTTGACTAAAGAAATTTAAAATTCATTAATTAAAAAATTAACAAACTTTATCAATTAATCAATAAACCTTGCACAAAATAGTAGTATTAAAAAAATTACTTTGATGAACCAAATACTTGTGCAAGCGATTTTTCATTTGCATGAACTAAATCAGTAGTATCATATGATGAGAGAGTTTGCTCGCATACTTCCATAATAGTAGTCCTAGAAGAGATATGTGCATCTAATGCTAACACGATATTTATCCCAGTAATGACTGCTCAAGAAATACGTATTTTCTATTTGAATGAGTACTAAAAATTTGAATCAGCTTGCCATTCTTCAGATGTATTGTTTTTTATTAGGCTAAATCACAGCTTTACAGAAATTTAAAATTTTAGTAAATTATCAAAGTACTAAATTATTATTTAGTACTTGTCAACATATTTGCTTGTTGTAAAAGACTTTTAAACTGAGATTCAATTGCTCAAAAATTCTTCATCATAAGTTTAGCATTTTTGATAAGTTTAATTTAAAAAGTCGGAGATTTTTTAATAAGCATAACATAATAACTAAATATTATTTGTTTATAGTTATGAGTTCAGTAGCTTTTATAAGTCAGACTTCCATTTTTGATGACATTTTTACATACCTTTGTTGTACTTCGCCTTCTTGAGCAACTGTAGCTTCGAGCTCACTTTTCGGCATTTTGAATTTGAGGCTAAAGTTTGTCCAAAGTTTCGAGAAAATCAATGTAAGTAAGAGAAACTTTGAGATAAAATCATGAAAAGAACACAACTATACCAAATCATGTCTCAAGAGTAGCATAACAGCCATCCAAATAAGCCATTATTATAACACGAATTATCAGTTTTTGGCAAGTTGAAATTGAATGGTACAAAACTAACTCGCAATCACTTTGTTCCTCACTGTTTGAATCGCTTGCACTTCTTTTTGCAGAAAATTTCTCAGATTCCATTGATGGTGAAGATGTTGCAGGTGAAGATGATGCCATTTCATTCAGTTTTATCACGAAATTTATAATTTTCAGTTGTTAAGTACGTTCAAAGGGTACGCAAGACACGTTGCTGTTTTTGACGGCTCGTGTCCAGCACTTTGTGTTTTATAAACTAAAACACAAAGTATTAAAAAACGCAAAAGTATATACTATTAAAGTATAGTTTTGAACTGTCATTTAGAATTCGAATGACTGAAAAAACACAACTGTTTAAATACAAGCTTGATGAACATTTCCAGAAAAAAAAGATTCAGCAAATCGTAAATAATCAAATGTAGCAGAATTTAAACCATATAATAAGAATAGTGAACTTGTCAGGTTTACATAATCTATAATGTTTTTTCACTGTCTATGTCTAATTATCACGCAAAAATACGCTTGTAACCTATACCAAGTACTAATGATAGTACTGATTAATGACGAATAAAGGTGTTTGATTCAAAAGCATTCGGCGTAAGATTTTATCTCATTTACTAAATGATTTAAATTACTTATGGCGATATTTCAATTATAGTTTCAGGCATACAAGTCAATTAAAATTTAAATAAAACGTTCAAGCTAAATTAAGTTTAGACAAGAAAGAAAAGACTAGGCAAAATGAAGAAACTTGAAGCTAAACTCCTATCATTAATTACAAAGAATAAGCAATATGATTTGAAACACTTCAATATAGAACTGAAAGCATGTGTTATACGATCGAAACTAAACTAAATTTATTGCAAAATTAGAATTAAAAAGTGTGATATTGAAAACATAGCGCAAGAATTTTACCAATTAATCAGTACTATCAATAGTACTTGATATTAAAAAAATGTTAAGCACAGACAAAAGCTGTTTTCGAGTTGAAGTGAACTGATGTAAAATGACACATATGATAAAGCACATGTGTGCTGCACACAATTGAAATAATCAGTCAACGAGTGGCGTGACACTTCCTGACTGTAAATTATGTCGAATTACTACTACTACTACCACTACCACTAATACTACTACTAATACTAATACTAATACTAATACTAATACTAATACTACTACTACTACTAATAATAATAATAATATTAATAATAATAATAGTAATATCACACCAACACTAACATCAACAGGATTCTTTCCTACCAGTCTTCTACCTCTTACAATTACTTCCATGTGTCTCAGTTGGATGACAAACTGTGTTTATTTGTATGTAGTTCGCGATGAAGAAGAGATAGATGATGATGATGGAGTAATGATGATGATGGAGTAATGATGATGATGATTGTGATGATGATGATGATGCGGTGGTGGTGGTGGTGGTGGTGGTGGTG